AGACATCCCCTCTCTTCAAAGTAGGAATGGGTATTGAATTTTATTAAATGATCTTGGCACACCCCCACATGTAGTGATTAATAATTATATCTAAAATTTATCTTTAAAGATTTTATATTTTGGAACTGATGAGATGGCTTATCAAGTAAAGGCACTTTCTGTATAAGCTTGGTGACCTGAATTCAGTCCTTGGAACCCATATAAAGATGGAAGGAGAAAACCAACTCTACAAAGTTGTCTCTTAAACCTCCACATACACATACATAATTGTGGTGTGTTACAATTAAAATTTTTATTATTTGAGGATATTTAGATGAGTTTTAAAATTTTTATTTTCCAGATACTTGCTTCTGTTAGAAATTAAAAACTATTTTGTATATTTAATCTTGCTTTTTTAAAATTTGATTTATTCATTTTTATTTTATGTGTGAGTGTTTTGCCAACTGTGAGCTTGATGCCTGCAGAGATCAGCAGAGGGCATCAGATTCCATGGAACTAGAGTGAACTACTATGTGGGTTCTAGGAACCAAACTCAGGTGCTCTTAACAGCTGAACCATCTCTCTAGCCCTAGATTTGACTTTAAACCACAAAAGCACTTTTCTGTACCTTGGTTTAAAAAAAAAAAAAAAAAATTAGATTTCGGTTATTTGCTGTCTGTATGGATACAGTTTTAGAAACACTAAATCTCTGAATGTTTGTTTTTACATTCTATTGTTAGCTTTCTTCACCGTGAGGTATGAAAACGTTATTGCTAATGCCCAAGGTTATGTTCATAAGGCCAATCTATCCTACCTGAAGTGTTGCAGTCATGGAGGTTTTTGTTTGTTTTTGCTTTTTTGAGACAGGGTTTCTCTGTGTATCCCTGGCTGTCCTGGAATTCACTCTGTAGACCAGGCTGGCCTCGAACTCACAGAGATCCACCTGCCTTTGCCTTCTGGGATTCAAGGTGTGTGCTGCCACCACACTGCTTGGTAAGTTGTATCTTAAGATATATTGTTGAAAAACTGCTTTCAGTTCCTTCTGGGAATGGTTTTGGTTTTCATTTGCATTTTTCTATTTTCTGTCAACCCATTTGTAACTACTTGTACACAGAAGTTTTAATCCCTAAAAGTAGTCACTGCAAAGTTAACCGATTTTCTGTAATCACAAAGTCTGTAATGAGTGACCCCCTCCCCATCTGGCTTTGTTGCTGTTTATTACAAAGTTTTGAATGCTTTTAAAGATCTCTTAATTTGCCCTGCTTGTACTGTGTTTTCCTTTATCTCTTGAATTGCTGCTTTTTTTTTTTTTTAATTATCAGCTGATATCTCAGATATCTTTTCTAGAGGAGTTCCAGGTTTTTTTGTCCCTGAGCAAGGAACAGAACACAGGCACACATTTGTAGCTGGAGCAGAGAGAGTTAATCAAGGTATATTACACTACTATGGTGGAGGAAGTGTGCCAAACCCAGGGTAGATTTCAGCAGCTCACAGGACACCAGTGTACAGAGCTGGTGTTTTTATACTAGCTTAGCCAGGGTTTTGGCTCATTAGTTCATGAAGACTTTATTGTGCATGCTATTACCTGTAATTCTCTACATGATTTCATGCATGTCTCACTATTGTCTACTCAAAGTTGTGTCAATGTCATCCTTGAACAAACTGGAGTGCCTCTCATCTGTATCACTGGGCAGTTTTAGTCATCCTTTGTCTGAGGCTTGCCTACTTGTTTTGTTTTTTCCTTTTTATAAAAATGCTAATTTTATAAGACTTCGAACAAGGATTTCTGGACCTACTTTCTTCTGCCTAAGTCTCCTATATCATTTTCCTCCCTCATTGGCACATCTTGGTTCTGTGCCCAGGTGTCGATCTTATTATATGCTTTCATGTCCCTTTCTCCTTCACTCCCTTCTTCCCTCCCCCTCTTCTCATTCCCTTTCCAAAGCAGGATCACTCTATGTACTCTAAGCTGGACTTGGATCCATAATTCTTCTGTTTGACTTTCTCTTGGTGCTGGGGTTGCAGACACATGCTATAATGCTCAGTTTTCTTTGTGCTGCTGTCATCTGTCCATCCACAATTTAGCCACTCTCTTGACCTTACCACTCAAAATGACTCTCAAGCCTATGATTCATTCTCAATTCCTTCTGCTTTCCCAAAGATTCTTGCCTCCCAAGTGCTGGGATTAAAGGTATGTGCCACTAACATTCCACCTTCATTTTAATTTTTAAATTTTATTTTTTATTTTATTATGGATTTCAATGTTTTGCCTACATGTGTGCCTGTGTATCATGTGATCATGTGATTGCAGTGCCATGGAAACTGGAAGAGGTGTCGGATCCCTTGGGGCTGGTATTAGAAGACCATTTTTAGCTTCTGTGTGGGTGTTGGGTACCAAACCCAGGTCCTCTGGAAGAGCAGCCTGTGCTCTTAACCACTGAGTCATCTCTCCAGTCCCAAAGTCTTCATTTTAGAACAGACTTAGCATGTATAATGTCTAAAACATCATTGTTTACATCTAGTCTTCTGTCGGCACTCTAGATACCATGGGACTTGGGAGAATTGGGCCAATAAATGAGGCAGACTAGAGTCTCATGAACTAGCCAGCTTTATTCAGAGCATCAGACATTTTATACTCTGGGGCTAAGAAACAAAATCACCTGAGTAAAGTTCTCAAGTGTTAATGCTGTGTGTAATCACAAGGACAAGCTGTGCATCTAAAGGATAGTTTAAACATTTAATTCAGTAACACCATAAGTGATAATGGGTAATTGAAGTAAACTCACTCCTTTCTGCAACACCTGGGAGAAGCACAAGAGCACATTCCAAGACCAGATCCATGCTGTGAAGAAGCTGAGGGCACAAGGCTCTTGTTTTCTTGGTGTGTGCTCACAAGAACTAGAAATTTTCACACCACTCCATTCCTGGACCACTCTTCCTCCTTCTAGTAATTATTATTAATTATTATTTTACTTGTTTTTTTTTTTAAATAGGCCAGTCAGGGCTATAAAGTGAGATCCTGTCTCAGAAAGAAAAAAAAGAAAGAAAGAAAAAGAAAGAAAAAGAAAAAGTGGACATGTAAACCTTGACAACTAGTGTAGGTCCCTTCAGATTCCGATTTCAATGTAGTTTGGAGGTAAAGTTGTGTGCTAATTTATTGTTAATTTAAAGAGCTGTAATTTATGATTTACACTGAAAAATTGTAGCCATAAACCATCCAGATATTTTAGATGAAATCATTACAGCATGTGTAAATAAACTCCCTGTTGGCAGAATGCTTCATATTTAAATGTCCAAGTGTCACTTGGAGAGTTTGTTAGCACTTTTTAGCACCATCCCCAGAGGTCATGCTGACGACTTAACTCTGGCAACACCCATAGATTTTTCTGATGTGAACAAGTCAGGTGATTCTGGTGTGTGGACTATCTCTGGACTATATTCTGTAAAAGGAAAACCAACCATGTCTGATAAATTTGCTAGGCTTAATGTTAGAACATCCAACATTCTTAACAAGATACTTTAAAACAGAAGCATAATGCAGTGTAATAGGGTTGGTGTTGAAATTGATTTGCCTTTTAAAGATGATGATAATTGTTCTGTGAGTATTAGTAACTTGTGTGTGGCAAGAAAACCCAAATATTTTGTTGCTATTGCCTGATCAAGAATACAGATCTAGCATATATAAGACTGATCTTTTCAAATGTTTAAAACAAGACTGGAGAGGTGGTTAAGGGGTTTGATTCCCAGCATCTACATGGTGGCACATGACCTTCTGTAGCTCTAGTTTGAAGGAATCCATGCATTCTTCTCACTCTGTGGGCCCCAAACATTCATGTGATTGATATGTATGTATGTATGTATGTATGTATGTATGTATGTATGTATGTATATGTGCAAACAAAACACACCTTGAAGAAAATGGATGTAAGAAAAAAGAAAAAGCTCTTCAAAAGAGCATGCATAGATAGTGGAAGGACATAGGATCTCTATTCATAATTGTCACAGGGTGGCACAGAGAAATGGGTTTTAGTGGAAGGAAAAATTAATCAGTGGCATGCTTAGATTTTTAGTGGTGAGATTAGAAACAGTTGTGAGAGCAGAATATTTGAGTAAGAAGATTGTAATGGGTCTTCATGTGCGGTAGGAATGCCTTTGAGAGGACCAAGGGCAGTTTGCTGAAAAAAGAGCTCTGCTTGCAGCAGTGGGAGCATTGGGATTACAACACTCACTGCACCGCTGATTTCTCACAGGGGTTCTAGGGTTGGTGCTCAGGTCCTTCCTCACACTAATGTGGCAAGCACTTGTCTCCAACTTCACTCAGCTGTGCAAACAGAGAATTGTGTTAAGTGATGTTGACTGATACATTTATATTATATTATTTATATTTTTACTCCCATATAAAAGGAGGTGATTATAGTGATGGGCTGTTTCACCTTGCAAGAAGTGAACAAAGAGAGGAAGCAGAGCGTGTAAAAAGTCTTGATGTAGTAAACTGGAAAGATAGGAAGTGAAGAGAATTGTTGGAAATTGAACTTTGGAGGGGATGGAGTCATTAGTTTTTGATAAGGGGAGTAAGGGGTGGAATGCATGGGGTTTATCATTGGGTGTGGGAGTTTTCAACTACGTGGATGTCACTTCATTGATCAAGTAAATTCAGGGGTTGTGTTGTGAAAGAACAAATTTGCTTAATTACACTTTTTCCATTTACTTAAGAGTATTCTACTCACTGTTGTATTTTGTTTACATGTCACCTCAGATAGTAAATTGTTGATCTATATAAAGGTATTTCTAAGAAGTAAATGGATAAAAGCAAATTATACATTGTTAGTGTTCAGCACTATCATATGGTTTAGTAGTGACCTATGACTTGATAAATTGAAACTTTAAACATTTGGATTGATGGTCTTATTGCCTAGTAAGTTATTTTAATACCGTGGAGGTTCAGTGAAGATGTTACAACATGTGTGGTTATCTGTAATACATTGCTTCACTGATTCTTTTTTTCCACTTGCCTCTCCTAGGACCTCAGCTGAATGCCCAGCTAGAAGGTTGGCTTTCACAAGTACAGTCTACGAAAAGACCTGCTCGAGCCATTATTGCACCGTAAGTTTTAGAGGTCTTTTGCCAAACCTTGAGCATGTTTATAATTGATAAAAATGAGTGTATATTGGACTAAAAGTTAAACCAGATGTTGGGCTAGAGAGATGGCTCCATGTTAAGACTGCTTACTTTTCTTGCAGAGGGTCTGTTTGGTTCTCAGCACCTGTGTTGTGCAGCTTACATTTGCCTCTGACTTCAATTTGAGGGGTTCAATACCTTTTTTATGGCCTTTATGAGCATCTGCACACACTCAAATAGGCACATATACATTTAAAAAAAAAAAAAAAGAACAAGTTTGTCTTTATCAAAAACGGGTAGTGATTGAGGTAGACAACCCTTGGCCTCCACATGAGAATGCACCTATATCATCCCCCCCCCCCACAAAGAACCCAGATTAATGTTTGGATGTAAGTATTTTACTGATAAGCACTTTATATGCCAAATATTGTATACATTTATGAGTTGATGCCAGACCCCACCACTTAAAGAGCTGTATCCTTGCTTAATCTCTTGCTCTTCACCTTATACAATACTAATTAATGCCTCCTTGAAGCTTTTTAAATTTATTTTATTTCATGTTTTTAAAAAAAAATGTGTTGTTGGGGTTGGGTAGTAGTGGCACATGCCTTTAATTCCAACATTCAGGAGGCAGAGCAGGAGGAGCTCTGTGCGTTCCAGGACAGCCTACCTGGTCTATAGAGTGAGTTCCAGGACAGCTGAGGCTACATAGAGAAACCCTTTTGTGATACTGTGATCAAGTGCATGTTCTTGGAGGTCAGAAGAGGGTGTTGGAAATTCTGTAACTGTATAGTTATAGGTAGCTGTGAGCCAATGTGTAGGAGCCAGACTCCAATCCTTTAGAAGCACAAGCTCTCTTAACCACCAAGCCACATTTCTAGTTACCAGCAAAGTTTTTATAGTATGGAAAACTATTATTTGATCTGCAAAATTAGCAGAATTGTTCATAGCAACTGAACTTTATGCATATGTCTTCATTGTTCCATTCCCTTTTAAGTTTGAAATTGACAAATGATACATATTTGTGAGTGGAATGCAAAGTAATGTTACAGTTTTGAATGTAACATGAGATGACCAAGCCACTCAGTCCACCCATCGCTTCAAACATTTGACATCTGTAGTGGTAATATTTATTGTCTATCCTTAAGTGAAGTTGAAACACATAAAATATTCAACTGTTAACTGTATTCATCATATAGTTTTTTGACTGAGGCATCAGTACCCTTGGTATCCTTCTATTATTTCCCCATAGCTATGCTTCTATAGTATGTGAGTTCTGTGGTATTAGAAAAATCCATGTATGTTGTGGGATGGTACCCTAGTTTGGTTTTTTTTTTTCTGTTGCTATGATAAAACAGTGACCAAAAACAACTTGGGTGGGATGGGGGGGGGGTGTTTGTGGAGGATATGGGAAGGTGGGAGGGAGAGGGAACTGGGATCAATATGTAAAATAAGAAAAAATGCCCTCCCTCCCCCCAAAAAAAAACAACTTGGCGGTGGGGAAAGGTTTCTTTTGTCTTGCATTTCCAGATCAGAGTCCATTACTGAGCAAAATCAGGGCAGGAGCTGAAGTGTGAATCATGAATGCTGTTTACCAGTTTGCTTTCTTACACAACCTAGAGACTCTCTCATGCCAGTCACAGACCTACTGCTTTGACTGTCCATTTAGATAGGTTTTTCTTTTTTTGCTGCTGCTGATACTTGAGCAACTGCTTCTGGAGCTCCCAGGGATTCTCCTGTGTCCACCTCCAAACTTGCTTTGAACTCCCGGGATTGTGTGTGCTCCTGTCCTGGGTTTGCACAGGTTTTGGGCTCAGGGTTCAAGTCCTTACAGTTTGACACATTAAGCTTTACTTGCTGAGCTATCTCCTAAGTATGGCTTTTTTCTTTTAAGGTAGAATATTTCTGTGCATTATGTTTTCTTTATAGATTCATCTGTTGCTGGACACCCAGGTTGATTCCATAATAGTGAATAGTGAGTGGTACAGTGAAAATGGACTCGAAGATATTTTTTGTTGTTTTTTTGAGACAGGGTTTCTCTGTATTGTTTTTGGAGTCTGTCCTGGAACTCGCTCTGTATACCAGACTGACCTTGAACTCACAGAGATTTGCCTGCCTCTGCCTCTTGAGAGCTGGGATTGAAGGTGTGCACCTTCAAAGACATTTCTTATGATATATTGGTTTCTCATCTTTTATATGAACCACTGTATGTGGGACTATTGGATTTGTTCCAGTCTTTTGTTTTTGAGGCAGGAGCTCACTGTGTAGTCCTGCATAGCCTGCAACTCACTTGTAACCAGGCTGACCTTTAATCCAAAGATCTGCCTGTCTCTGCTTGGATTCATGGCATGTGCCATCACACCCAGTTCTCCATTCGTTATTATTGTAGTCATAGCTTGTTTATGTGAGTTCAGCAAATAATGTCATAGATCATACAATCAGTAAGCTATATGGTATTTATAATAGATTATTACATATTTTTATCATTCATAAATTATGATACTTCTATTTCATGTACATATGAATGTACAGTTTTCATTTCTTTCAGAGTTAGTTATGAACATACCCTGTGTAAACAGTGATAGGCCTGAAAGGACTGGTATTGGCTCAGGACACTCCAAGACCAAGTTCTCAGCACAAAAGAGCTTTATTTGCCCCAGAGGGACAAAGGGCAGGGACTAAGAGACAAAGACATGAGACAGAGGACAAGGGAGAAGGGCAATGGAATTAGGGAGAAGGGGAAGGGGCATTTGTCTTGGGATGTGGGAGTGAGAAAACAAAGGCCTCTGGGTAGAGAGGAGACAGATGTGCTCCCTAGGAAAATGCAGTTTATAAAGCCACAAGGCAAACCTGGTGTTAGGATGCAGTGTTGAATTTTAATTGGGCATCTTAATTAAGGTAGCCAAAAGGGGCTTTTGATTGCTGGATTTAATACTTTGACAGTTGGACCTCAGGAGGAGGAAGTGGCCAAATAATGGAATATACCTTGGTGGCTAGCTTTAGGAATGCAATCTACCAGTTTTTAGGAAGACAGAGGTTATAGGGGAGAAGGGCAAGGCCTGCCAGAGCCATGTTTGCTATGCTTGGGCTAGCTAGAGTCCCTCTTGCCCTTATGTACCACTATCTAAAGAAGTGAGTCTAGACTCATGTAGTAGGAATGATTTAAGAAAGAAAAATGGTCAGAGAACAAAGCTCTTCTATAGGTGATGGGAGGATTGATTGAATGTGGAAGCTAGAGGGTGAAAGGAGAAAGAGAATGGAGATGAAATGAGAGGTGTAATACACAGAAGCCAAGTCAGTTTCTTTACTGCTAAGGGCAGAGGGGAGGACCATCATTGCAGGGTATTTGCTTTGGTGCTGGTATATAATACTCTGCTAATTTCACTTCAGAAGAGTATCAAAAACTAGAAACTTAAAGTGAGCCTTGACAATCTCCAGGTATCTTCTTTCCCCACCCAAAACCAAACTATTTTTTGATCTCCTTTCTTATCACCCCAAATTGGTGCTGTGATTAAACACAAGACGTTATAAACATGTTAAGTAGGTACTCTAACATTGAGCTACACAACTGACACCTAAAAATATTTTGGAATATAGTATGAAACAATTAAGTGTTTCCTATTGCCTTATAGAAATTGCATCATTACTTACATTGCTTTTTAATCTACTCAATTCTATTAAATGTATCATAGTTTTTACAATTCTTTCTAAAAGTTTTATTTTCTTTAGGTTTACCTTGATTTTGAACCTGGAGATTAAGTTAAAAACTGTTTTGTTTGTAGCCATGCAGGATATACATACTGTGGCTCTTGTGCTGCCCATGCTTACAAACAAGTGGATCCAGCTATTACGTAAGTAAAGCAGTTAATTGGGAACAGCTTGGTAATGTCACAATGGTTGCTTTGTCATAGAAGTAATAATTCATTCTTCTTGCACTTTTCAGGAATTCTGTCATAGCTTGTGTTGGTTAGGAAATACCTGAATACTTTTTCTTTGTCTGAGCATTTACTTTTTACCTTGTCTTTAGTTGTCAAATGTTTCGTTCTGAAACTATGACAGAGTTAAATATTTGAGTTTTAATTTTCATTTAAAAATCTAGATGTGAACATTTAAAGAAAAAATGAAGTTTCCTTTGTAATTACTAAAAGTAAAAATTCTTTTAACAGTAAAGAGAAATTAAATTGAGAAGATTCTAGATTTTTTTTTAATGTGACCTTGGTCTGAAAGTCAGCAATAAACAAGATTATTTTAAATAGGTCTTCGTTCTGAACTTTTCTGTGGTAGAATTTTTATTGATAGTGTTATATGCTAGAGGCATGCCTCAGAATCAGTTTGGTTTAGGAATATGTAAATAAGTGTAGAGGCTATGCTGGGGGAAGTGCAAACTAATGGGAAGGCAGAGTGAAGGAAAGCAGGAAGGGAAGTGGAAGGGAACCATGAGAGTAAAGGGCAGAGAGGAGGAAGTGACAGCATTTAGACAAGTTTAATTGATATTAAACTGTATATTAGCATTTTAGCAATCAGTTAGATCATTTTAGTGATCAGTATACACTGAATAATAATAAAATATATAACTATTGCCTTGAATTTTAAGTAAATTCTAAGACTATCTTAATGAGTCCTAAAATGTAAAGGGTAAGTGCATTAAGATCGCAACAATAGCATTATGTTTTAATATCCAGTATTGAATAGTGAATTAAATAAATATGACAGCTTAATTAATGTAATATTTTATAGATATTGAAAATGAATATTGCCAGGCATGGTGATGCACACCTGTAATCCCAGCAGTGAGGAGGCTGACCTAAGAGATAACAAGTTTGGGGCCAGCTGGAGCTACATTGTGAGACCATTATTAAATAAAATAATGAAATATACTATGAGGCATTGTAGTAATTTTAGGAATATTACATCATAGACTAAAAGGAGGATATAAATTTGTGTGAAGTTGAGAAGAAAGTGTATACTATATTAAGTAAAAATTTTCATAAGAATATTTTTCAAAAAGTCACTTATGGATGATGATCTATTATATGTTTTCCTTTAGAATTTTTATTCTTTGATGATTTTATACATGTATATAAGGTCTTGTGGTCATATTCACTCCCTCTTTTGTACTCTTACCTCCATCCCACTAAGCCCCTTCTCTTTATTAACTGACTGAGTTTACCTGGTGTGCTTGTGTGAGCCTGCGTGCAGTTTTACTTGCTGGTGTGTGGTAACTTCATAGTGACCATGTCACTGAGGGTGACCGTCTCTTCCCCGAGACCAATAACAAACAACCTATAATAATCTTAATACTCCTCAGATAGTGGACGTTTGTGCATTTTATTTTATATAAAGAATGGACAAATGGGGAGGGCAATGGGGGTTGTGAATGTAATCAAAATGTATGACATTCTCAACAAATTTTATAAAATATTAAAAATAATGACCATGGCATTTTTAAAAATCCTATTAGTCACTTGCATGTTTGATTTTTGTTTCAGTGTTTTGTTGGTACCTTTCTTTTTTCCTTTTTTTTTTTTTTTTTTTTCTCAAGAGGAAGAACATACAGGTGGGTGGGTAGAGAGGTAGGAAGTTTATGGGAGGGATTGGAGAGAGGAAGGAGCATGATCAGAATATACTGTATGAAAAAAAACTTAATTAAAAATAAAAATCTTAATGAGCTAGAGTTAAAAGTAAACCCTTTACTATAATATTTAATTTAAAAATAATGTGAAATCATTTTCATGGTGAAAAATAAAAATTTTCAGGTGCAGAAGCAATTGTATGGGCTAGAAGATGGCTCAGCAGTTAGAGCACTAGCTACTTTTCCAGAGGACACAGGTTCATTTCTCACTTGGCAGCTCACAACTGTATATAACTCCAGTCTCAAGGCATTTGATGCCCTCTTCTGACCTCCAAGGGCACCATGCATGCAGGTGGTAAACATATATACATGCAGACAAAATAATCATACACATAAAAATTAAGAAAAAGAAATTAGATTAAAAAATTAAAACTATCAAAATAATAAAAACATTGGGATTAATGGAAGTGACTTTTTCTGTGTAGTGATGCAAATCAAATCCAGGACCTTACACATGCTAAGAATGCCTCTACCATAGAAGTGTATCCATCGTCTCCAAGTTCAGGAACTAAATGAAGCATGAAATGAGAACCAAGCACATTTCTACATAGCATAGTGGAAGATATTGGGGAAAGAGGCTTTACTTTTACATTTCATTTACAAAATATAACCAGGCTTGGTGAGGCATGCTTTTAATCCTAGCACTGGGAAGGCAGAGGCAGGAGGGTCTCTGTGAGTTCCAGAGCAGCGTGGTCTCCAGAACATCCAGGATTACATAGACAACTCTGTCTCGAAAAACAAGACATATGTATGTATACAGTTTTCTATTACTTATATAACAAAGTATATTAATATGTTATTTATGTTCATTATATATAAATATTCATCATCATTATTATTATTATTATTATTATTATTATTGGACAAAAATGTGGCTTTGTTGTCTAAGCTGGTCTTGAATTTGCAGCAATTTTTCTGCTTCAGCCTCTGAAGTACTGAGATTACTGGTGTGTGCCACCTTGCCAGACTTTGGCTTACTGTCTGATTTAATAGCAGGTAGCTCTGTGCTCATGTCTGTTTGTGCATCCAGTTGGTTATGATCTGTTCTCACACAGGTACGTAGTTTCAGAGCAGGAGGTGTCCCACCACCTTTCCCATTAACTGGAAGTGTTTTCTTTAATCCTAACCCAGAACATAATAAAAAGATTTCCCTGGGGATCAGTGGAAATCTTTCAAATTTATGTTTCATTATACAGTTTTAAAAATTAGGTTTGTTCATACCACCATCTGAAATGCATTAGACTTAATTTTCACTTGAAAGCTTCAGTTTTATTCTATACAACAGATATGTCAATTGCTTTGCTTGAAATGGCAGGCTTATTTTGTTTATTTTGGAGAAAATTTCTGCCAGATACCTTTTTGTATGGTTATTTTTTTGCAAGTGAAAATTGTATTCCATGAAAAATGTGTCTAGTTCAGTTCTTAGCTCATAACACATGGGTGATTTTCCCTGAGATATAATGTTTGTCTGCAGAAGTGCTTTATGAATCTGTCCCCATGTTTGAATATCTTTTGTCATGCAGGGTTAATTTTATTCTCAAGAGTCAAGATTCTGGTGGAATTGGCCTTAAAACAACACAAAACAGAATAGAGTAGCAATGGACAGCCATGAAGATAGTGCCTACAGTTTTACCCTCATTATGTAGCTTAGGTGCAGATCAGTAGTGAAGAAGGCTGAGATCACCCTTTTCACTGTTTGGGGATGAGTTTGAATTGTATGCGCCTTTACAGGGTCTTGAATGTACGGATCACAGTATGATAGCTGAAAGATAGACCTGAAAGGGTGATTTGATTTCAAGCATGGGAAAGGAATTGGGAAAGCCTCACTGAGGAATTGGTTTTTAAGTTAAACCAGCCAATCAAAGGGAATGACAATGTATAGTTGAACTTGCTAGTTAATCCAGGACCTGTAAGATGAGTGTATTCATAAAATCATAACTATCAAGGGGAGGCAAAAGGTGTACAAGAAGTTGGCAGTTCATTTGAGCTTTTAAAACCCATTTTAAGGACAGGAAGATGGCTCAGTGGTTAGTATTTGTTGCAGTGGCAGAGACAGGAAGTTTGGACTATTAGTTAGGTAGTCCAGTTTAAACAGTGAACTCTAGTTTCTGCTGGAGACCTTGTCTCAAAAAATAAAGTGGAAGACACCTGAGGTCAAACTCTGGCTTCCACACGTACCTACATTCTGTATCTATGCCTCTAGACCCACTCCCCCATAGAAAAGCTATACACATACACTATATAACACCCCTCCCCCAACACACACACAAAATCCCACTTTAAAAAAAATATTTGTTTATTTTCTATGTGCATTGACTTTTTGCCATTGTGTGTATACCTGTGTAAAGATGTCAGGAACTATAGTTACAGACAGTTTTAAGCTACCATGTGGTGCTGGGAATTTAACCCAGATCCTCTGGAAGAGCAGCTAGTGCTCTTAACCTCTGAGCCATCTCTCCAGCCTACAAAATCATACTTAGTTTTAAGGGTTTTACTTGATTTTATAACCATGAAAAGCCAGGAAGGACTTTTTTGTTTGTTTGTTCTTTGTTTCTCTCTGTATCTCTGGCTGTCAAGTAGGACAGCTAGCCTCACACTCAGTGACCCTTTCCTCTGCCTCCCTAGTGAGTGCTGGGATTAGAGTGCACTACCATACCCCAGCTCAGGGTGGACTTTTAAATAAGGGCAAGGGTAAGGTGGTATACACCTCTAATCCCAACACGTGGGAGGCAGTGAGTTTGAGGGACAGCCTGGTCTATGAGTTCTAAGACAGAGGAACTCTTCCAAAAAAACCACGAGGAAGAAAAAAAGGCAAGAGAAAGTGAAATGATTAGATTTGTGTTTCAAAAGATTATTTTAGACTATAAGAAAATTTGAAAAATGGGGCATTTCATTAAATTTCTTTTCATGTCGAAAGTTGCAGGCTTTTCTGGCTGCTAACAAAACTAGTAACTAAAATCTGAAATTCTACCAGCAGTTAGGCAGAAACTTAAATTAATTTGTATTTTTCAAAAAGCTTCGAGGAACAAAAAGAGTACCATGACAGTTTTAGTCTTTAGTTAAAAATATTTTTCCTCTCTGTGAAACAACCTTTTAAGTTACTTATGTTCCATTAGTTGGAATAGGTGGTTGGAAAAATAGGACAAGTGCTCATAGACCATATTCATTATAGTAATTTCACAGAGGTGAATTCTCAGGAGCTGCAGTGTGTGGACCATGTTTCTAGGAAAATGTGACTCTCTACCATCACTCTGATATTTAGTATTAAAGGTTTCTAGTAACAGCCAGAATACTAATACTGAGGTTACTTCTTCAAAGACAAAACACCTTGCAGTTAATTAAAGGGAAGGGACATAGGCTTGCTTCCTTATTTCCCTCCAAACTAACGCAGTGACTGCAGTTCATGGATCTAGCAAGGAAACAAGAAGCAAATACATGAACTTCAATATTGCGAGTCATTTTTCCCCCGCCGCCAGTCCCACCTCCGTGCCAGCCCCAAATAACACTCTGAGACGCTGTATTTGATATAACGCTGTTGGCCAGTTACTAGTCTTATCGGCTAGCTCTGTCTTAAGTATTAACCCATTTCTATTAATCTAAGTATTTCCACGTGGTCTCATCTTACCGGAGAGTTGGGTTGGCGTCCTCTCTCCCCAGTCTCCCCATGCTGACTCCTCCTTACTATTTCTCCTTTCCTCCTTCTCTCCTAGTCCCTCCTGGTTTCCTTTCCTATTGGCCAACAGTGTTTTATTCATTAACCAGTATGAGAAACATATTTACAGAATGACATCTCCCGTCATCTCCTCTCTTCTGTCTAAATAAAAAAGGGTTTTAATTTTAACATAGCAAAATATATCATACAACAGTTATCAAATAAGAATCACAGTTAACAATATTTAGTCCATTAACATTTAGTAAGATTTAAGAAAATATTCCATCTATTTTATCTTTGTGAGTCTAAAGTCCTATATGTAACTTATCTTTAATCCTAACTAAGGAAAACCATAACCATAACTATCTGTCTTCAACTCCTTCAAAGACCACAGAAGAATAGTATATAAACTCTAGATATGACAGAGACAACTCACTGCCTGGTCAGTCACCCAAAGTTCTTCTGTAATCTTTTATCTTCAGCCCATAGGCCATAGTGTGTCTGGCAGACTCTTCAGCAAAGCAGGAAACTTTAAACTGTCTTCTTGTATTGGCATTTTGTCAGTCACTTTTCTCTGTGTCCTGCAGACTGTCTGGCAGACTCTTCCATGAAGCAGGAACCCTGTAGCAATGTCCATCTTATATCAGCAGTCACTTTCCTGTGGGTTCTGCATGTCCATTTTATACAGCATAAAGTCAAACAGTCCAGATAAGAGCAGTATCTTGTCCAAATGGCTGGTCTTGCCATATTGGAAGTAAACTTTGACTATCATAGGTAATTATTTATTATCTGTACTACATTATACATTACATTTCTAAATGAGCTATATAAACACAATACCTAACCAAGAGAAGAAATTTACTTATCAGAAAATTGACCTTAAATTTGTATCAATAAATGAAAATCCATTCAAAAACAAAGTATTCATATCTATACCATAATACCCTTTTTAACCTTTCCTATCGGTTAGCTCTGTCTTAATTATTAACTTATTTCTATTAATCTAAGTATTTCCATGTGGTCTCATCTTAACGGAGAGCCGGCTGGCATCCTGCTCTCTCCAGACTCTCCATGTTGACTCCTCCTTACTACTTCCTCTCTCCTCCTTGTCTCCTAATCCCGCCTATCTTGCTTTCCTATTGGCCAACAGTGCTTTATTCATTAACCAGTATGAGAAACATATTTACAGAATGATATCTCCCATCACTTCAATGCCTTACTAATCTTCTGTTAGCACTTTAGCTAACACAAAGGTCTATTTTGAGGTCACTATAGCCTTATTAATATGCCTTCTTTCCACTGTTTCAGTAATAGCTATCTATCCTTCTGTGTTTTGTATATGTCTGTTTTAAGGATTTTGTACTGATGATGCAGTTTTTCTTGTTTCTGTAAATCAGTTCTGGAACTGCAGTAGACTGATTGTGGGTGAGTTTTTTACCAAACTGGAAAGAATTTATTGGGAAAGCATCTGGTTAATTCCAATTGGTAGGGACCCCTCTGTATAGGCTGGCTTGATAAAAGGTAAGCAAAGAAAGCACCCAGGCCTCAATTGAAGATGGTTAGGCTCCCAGAAGACCACTGTCATTTCATTGTTGGAGCAGTCCTCATTGTTACTTATTAGATTAATATATGCCTTCAGATTGGCTTCTTGTTGGTGTCTGAGACAGGTTTTTCTGTGTAGCCTTTTCTGGCCTGGAACTTACAAAGATCTACTTGCCTTGCTTCCTGAGTGCTGGGATTAAAGGTTTATACACTGCCACACCAAGCCAGAGACTGACATTTTAAAAATATCACTTATATTTTAACTATATACCTAGAATTTTCTAAACGCTTTTTTTTTTTCATAGAAACTGATTCTTTAGTGAGAAACACACCCTTTGTGTTGAATTTTCCCTTTCCCTCCCTTTCCCTTTTTCTTCTGTAAGTGAGGTCTTACTGTGTTGCTTTGGGTAGCCTTATGTTCCTGCTCTCAACTGAGTCCCCTGCTTTAGCTTCAGCTTTCTGAGATGTAGACAACAGACATGTACTGCTGTGCCTGGCCAAACGTCATTGATTCTTAGTTCATGCAATCCCTGGCATTAATCAGATGACCTAAAGATTCCCAAGTTACCATTTTATACATACTTCATATTAGGCATTAGTAAAAGAATTTACTAATATTTGGGCTCAGCAGCTAAGATCACTGGCTGCTTCTTCAAAGGTCCTGAGATCAGTTCCCAGCACCACAATCATTACCCTGTTGTGTTGTGCAGTCATGCATCTAGGTATAGTGTTCATACATAAAATACATAAGATGGAGGAGAGAGGTTAGAAGACATTATTTCTCTCCCACCTTGGCCTAAGGATAAAATAGTTTCCTGTGTGATTTTTTTTTTTTTTTTCCAATTTGGGTACTCTGAGCCATAATAAGCCATAACTTCCTTGTCCATATCCTTCCCTCTCTCCTTCCTTCCCTCCTTCCCTCCCTCCCTCCCCCCCATCTCTGCTCCCTCCCTCCCTTGCCCAGTTTTAAGTGATATGTCTTATAAAAGACCTTAGTAATAGATTTTGGTTGGTTTGTTAGTTCTTTTGTTCATCATGGACATTGTCTCACTGTGCATGCAGAATTTCCTTTGCTTTGCCCTCTGTGTGCTAAGATTAAGATGTGTCCACCACATCTGGTGGTGTTTTTCTTTTAGCAGTAGGTAGGGTCTGATTTTTGTAGATCAAGCTGACTTTAAATTTCCAGTCATCCTAGATCCTTAAGTGTTGGAATGTAGGTGAATGCTGTCACACTTGGTACAGTATATTGCTGCAGCACACGTTCCTTGTCCTCCAAATATCTGACAGGGAAAAACTAGGTATCTTTTTCCTAGGTACATAAGCCCATTTCCTCTTTCCTTTTTTCTCACAGTTTTGCATTTTTTGGATCTGTAACTTATTAATGTTTGTATATGGTATGGTGAGATTGGTTTATTTGAAATTTAGAAAAGAAAATTTAGAAATTTAGAAAATTTAGAAAAAAGTTTTAGATTATGGAACAAATTTGGATGTTTGATATGAAATAAAAGTAAAGCTACTTTTACTCTTGATGCTGAGACAAAAGTATTACAAAGATTGTAGCTAGGATTTAGTCCAGTTATTTTCTTTAGTCTATAGTGCAAATAATATATTATGAAGTTTCTTTTTATTTGAGGATGATTTGTATTTGAATGAAAGTAGAGAAAGTTGATTACATAGAATTCTTTTCAACAAGATGTCTTATTTCTTTGCTACCATAGAAATAATGTCAAAATAGCTTTATCAGAATGCTTCTTTGTAATGCTGTTTGACATAGATAGTTGGAAATTCGTAGAGATACTTAGTTTTATTACAAAATTAAAAATTTTTATAGCTAAAACATTTAAACTGATAGGCCATTTTGAAACATATCTGGTTATACATGTAGATTTATGTAGGGCATGTTTATTATAAAAATTTCTTGCTGATATTTCCAATTATTGGACATAAATTCAGATGAAAACTGAGGAGCAAACCATCAAATCATTTTTGTTGTGAAATTCCAAGGACGTGTGGTTGCTTGCAGAAGTCTTACTTCCTCACTGCTCTAGGAGAGTAGGTGTTGTGGCCTGTGAGGTAGGAGTGCTTTCTTTGAGGCTTGTCTCTTGGCTGCTAGGCCTCCTGTAATGTATGACTGTTAGGCATGTTCTTGGAATCATGTGTTGTGGTCATGTGCCATGTGTTCCCCCTCTTCCACCCTAGGATCTTTCACCCAGCTATGTAATCCTGGTTGGCTAGAACTCACTATGTAGCCCAGGTTTCCTTCAAACTTGCAGGAGTCCTTGCCTCAGGGCTCTCTGGGATTATATGGGGCACCACTCCTGGCTCTGAAGTCCATCAGTCATACTGATAAGGGCCCCATTCTAACTTCTTTAGCTCTTGAAAAATTTATCTCCAAATTGGCAGTCAGATGTGAGAAATGGGAGCTTCAATCTATGAGTTTTGGTGAGAACATAGAATGTAGTAAAAGTAGGTAGTCAGCATGGAAAAGCAAGTAAAAATTAAAGTTATTTTTTCTCTTACTTAAATAAGATTTGTGTAGAAGTGCATTTGTTCTGTGTTTCTGTTGTGTATCTCCCAGCCGGAGAATTTTCATCCTTGGGCCTTCCCATCATGTGCCCCTGTCTCGATGTGCACTCTCCAGTGTGGATATATATAGGACTCCTCTGTATGACCTTCGTATTGACCAAAAGAGTAAGTATATAGAAATAATGTAGTTTTTAAATAGCTAAAGCTCTAATAAAGATTGCAACTCATTAAAAAAATTAGACACAATATCATAAATAGCATCTCAATTAAAGTTTTTGTTGTAACTAATCTGTATAAACCAGACACAAAAAAAGTATTTTCCTCATAACAACAAAAATTTGTTAAAGGCACTTGGCTCCAAACCATAGTGGTTACATTTATATTTAGAGAAATACTTTGTGTTGTGCCATGAAGCAAGAAATTAGTATACATGACGACCTGATGAAGACTGCAGGGTTAACTGTTTTTAAGTGTATTACTTTCTTCACTTTAAATGGTGGTGATAGTACTTTCTTTTCCTCTCATTGTTTTTTATGGAAAATTATTCTATGGGTTTTGAAGCTCTGAAACGTGGTATAATTTAGATACATTTTGTTTTAGCATGTGTTATTTTTTGTGTATGTATGTAGGCATGCATATGTACTTGCATATGTGTATCTAATAATGCTTGTGTGTGTGCTATGTGGAGGCCTGAGGTTAATGTCAGGGGTCTGTCTTCCTTGATCACTCCGCCTGATATACTGAGGCAGTGTCTCTGGCTGAATTCAGAACTTGTTATTTTGGCTTACCTTGCTTGCATATACATACGTATACGTATGTATCTGGGGATTCTATTCTGCCTCTGTACACTGAGGTTACAGTTGGAATGCCCCACCTGCCCAGCTTTTTACATGGATTCTCAGCTCCAAATTCCAGCTGTCAAGATTGTGTGGTAATCATTTTACCTGCTATGGCATCTGTCTAGCTCCCATGTCTGTTATTTGTTATTTTGGATTTCCTCTTATGGTTCCAGAGGGAGGTAGGGGTGTGTGTGTGTGTGTGTGTGTGTGTGTGTGTGTGTGTGTGTGTGTGTGTGTGTGTGTGTGTGTTCAGTGATTGCATATTTTGTGTTTGTGTTCTGTATGCTCCTTTTTCTGTGCTGTCTACTTTTTTTTTTTTTTTTTTTCCTTTTTGAGACCATGTCTCAGTGGCCTGGAACTTATCTAGAAGGCTAGGCTGGCTGGCCAATGAGCCCCAGGATTCAGCCTGTCTTCCTTTCCTATGGGATCCTAAGTGAGCACCACCGTGTCAGGCATTTTTGGGTGGATTCTAGGAATCAAGTTCTCATGCTTTCTTGAGAAACATTTGACCTACTGAGCAGTCATTTTCCCAGCTGCCAAATATTGTGTTTTTGTTTAGTTGTTTCTTGTACAATATATGTAATGTTAAAAAAGTACCAAACAGTACATAGTTGATATTACAGTTTACACTGAATTTTCCTCTCTGGATAAATAACCACCTTTCATGAACTTGGGTGTGTATCCTTTAGCTCATTAAATTATATTTTAAGTATATGAGGGATACAGTTGTTTTGTTAAAGTTTGCAGTAATTTACATGGACTGACAAGTAATGTAAAAAGAAATGGTTAGTTATTTTAGGTCTCATTTAAGCTTTGATTTTTGTAATTTAAGGTTGTCTCAAGATTATCAGCTATTTGTTATTAATCAAAATAGAATATTGCCTTCCTGATTGAGATGACTTAAGGGACCCACTTTCCTTTTTTTCTTATTTTTCATATTTTTAGATTTATTTAATGGTTATATGTGTTTTGCTCACATAAATGTCTATGCACAGTGTGCCAGCCTAGTAACTGAGGAGGTCGGAAGAGAGTTTTGGATTCTCTGGAACAGGAGCTGTACATGGTTGTGAGATACTATGTTGGTGTTGGGAATTTAACCTTGGTTCTCTGCAAGAACCAGTGCTTTCAATCACTGAGTCATCTGTCAAGCCCCACCCACCCTTTACTTTTAAAAACCTTGTTTGGTGCAAGCAAATGCATGGGTAATTTTGTTACTTTGTAGAAATGAGGTCTTAACTACCCTTTGTCCCTTTGGTTTTTGTTTCTTTCTCTTTATTCTCCCTCCCTCCCTTCCTCCCTTTCTTTCTTCTTTTTTGTGGTGTGGGGGAGAAAGTTTTTTGCTAGGTGACTCAGGCAGACCTTGATTCTCCTTTGGAACCCAGGTTGCTCTTGTTTGTGGTCTTCCTGCTTCAGCTTTCTGCATAGCTGGGGTTGTTTGTGTTTGCCACCAGACTTGGCTCTAAAGTTATTTTTCTATTGTGTTTTTGCATACTAAATTTCATGTCTTGTTCTACATTCTTAGGTTATAGCTCATCAGAAGTATCCAGATAGCTGGATCATTTTAAGTTGGCTTGATACTGTGCTGGATTTATGATTTCTGCCATAAGTTAAAGTTTGAAGTTTGTGAAAAATAGTATTGGAAGTGAGAATTTTATGTTGTTGGTTTGGTAGAAACATGAAGTGAAATAATAAAACTACATAATTTTGTATAAAATCAAACCTAAAAAAGATATTATTAAGCTTATATGTGAATAGATGATGATTTATTTTTCCTGTTATAATAATGATTCTAATGAACTGTTTGTGCTAGAACATTTAGATTAAAATCCAAAGAATGGCCTAGACTCAGTTTATTTTAGAAATATTAAAAGGAACTCATGAACAGTGTGCTATGTTACTATCCAAATGGTAAGTCTTTACTTGCATTATTTTATGTAATAAAATTAGCCATTGCATCTTTCACTTATAATAAAAATTAGAGCCATATCTTATAGTTTTGTGTTGTTGGGTGGAAGCTCATGAAATAAATGTGTGCATTAATATTCATTTTTAATATATTTTGAAATCTTTTTAGTTTATGGAGAGCTGTGGAAGACAGGAATGTTTGAACGCATGTCTCTGCAGACAGATGAAGATGAACACAGTATTGAAATGCATTTGCCTTATACAGCTAAAGCCATGGAAAGGTATATTGTTTAATATAAGAAATCCCAGAGAAATCACAGATCTTAATGTCTTTGGAATTATTTTAACCTAGGATAATTTGTCAAAGCAAAAAGATTGAAAATTTCTTACTTAAAATGAAATAAAAATTGGATATTGCACTTATATTTTAAGGTCTAAAATTGATTTTTAACTATTTGTCTATTAAGGTTGAACATAAGAATTGACATGATTTTTTTCTTTTAAAGGTACAAAGGAAAACAACTACACTTATGTGGGTTGGGGTTGATTTGTCTTGGTTTTTATTACTTTGTGCTGTAATTGTAAAACTTTAAATTTGGAAATATCTTTGAAAGTCACTCTTCAGAATTTTGTAAAGGTACATGAGACTATTTACTTACTTACTTACTTATCTATTTATTTATTTATTTATTTATTTATTTATTTGAGACAGGGCTTCTCTGTGTTGCTTTGAAATTTTGTAAAGGTACATGAGACTATTTATTTATTTATTTATTTATTTATTTATTTATTTATTTATTTATTTATTTGAGACAGGGTTTCTCTGTGTTGCTTTGGAGCCTGTCCTGGACTCGCTTTGTAGACCAGGCTGGTTTGGAACTCACGAGATCCACCTGCCTCTGTCTCCACCTCCTGGAGTGCTGGTATTAAGGGCATGTGCTGCCACGGCCCAGTGGTACATGAGACTCTTAGACTGTTGGTGATGATGCAGTGCCTGCTAATTTGATTTAAAACTTTTAAATATAGAATCAAATGCTCTTTGAAAATGACTTTCATATTATGAGGTATATTCATGTTATTTTTCTTACTCCATGTGGTCATACAAGAGTTACTAGTATCCAATTGTGGTAACAGCAACATATGCCTGTGATCATAACATTTGGGAGGCTGAGGAGGGACGACCACAATGCTTGTGAGTTTTGTTGTTTGTCTTTGTTTTGTAAGACATGGTTTATCTCTTGTAGCAAGGATGACTTGGAAGTCCTCCGCCCCTTGCTGGGATTGTAGGTCTGGGATTGTAGGTGTGAGCCAGCACACCTGCTTTGCTTGTTACACCAGTCTTTTAAAGATTCATTTATTATTTATGTGCATTGGTGTTTTGTCTGCATGTATGGCTGTGTAAAGATGCCAGATCCCTTGGAACTAGAGTTATAGTTACGAGCTGCCATGTGGGTGCTGGGAATTGAACCCAGGCCCCCCCGGAGGAGCCGCCAGTGCTCTTAACAGCTGAGCCATCTTTCCAGCCCCAAAGTCAGCTTTTAAACATTTAACTCTCAATCCCCCACAGTTTTTACTATTACAAATGTTACATGATTTTTATGTATTGCTTACAATTTTATTTTATTTTTCTGTTATTTGTAATTCTGTGTCTCATATAGTTTGTTTTGGTTTTGGTTTTTCAAGACAGGGTCTCTTTTCATAGCCTTGGCTGTCCTAGAACTCTGTATACCAGGCTGGCCTGCAACTCACAGACATCCACCTCCCAATGCCTCCCAAGTGCTAGGATCAAAGGCATGAGTCACCAATGGCTGGCCTCTGTTATCTTAAATTTAAAAAAAAAAAAAAAAATATATATATATATATATATATACATATACATACATATATACATGTATACATACATATATATGTATGTATGTGTATGTGTGTGTATATATTATTGTGTATATACACACATGTATGTATGTGTATGTGTGTATATGTATGTGTGTATGTATATATACACACATGTATGTATGTGTATGTGTGTATATATGTGTGTATATGTATGTATGTGTATATATGTATACACACATGTATGTATGTGTATGTGTGTATATATGTGTGTGTATATGTATGTGTGTATGTATATATACACACATATATGTATGTGTATGTGTGTATATGTATGTATGTGTATGTATATATATGTATATATGTATGTGTATATATATGTGTGTGTCTATGTATATATATGTATATATATAATTCATTAGAGCTTTTGTTTACATGTTTAGTGTGTGTCTATACATGTGTTCTGCAAGTGTTTGTATGTGGTATGGAGGATAGAGGCTGATGTCTTTCTTGATTGTTTTTCATTTTACTTTTGAATTCACTGTGTGACTACACTAGCTGGCCAGTGAGCTCCAGGGATTTTGTCCTCTTTGTCTTCCCAGAACCAAGGTTGCAGATGTGTGTCACATGTCTAGCTTTTTACTTGATATATAAAACTCAGGTCTTTGTGCTTTGTATCAAGTACTCTACTGACCGAGCTGTCTCCGTAGCCCTTCCTGGAGCCTTTTGAGACATTGAATGTCTGTGCCTGCCTGCTATGTTCAAGTCTCTACCCTACACTGACCAGAAAGAAACACTATAAAGAAGAAAAATATGAAATGACTCAGTTTATTCCTCTGTTTAAAAAATACAAATATATGACTTGAAATTGTATAAAATGAACAGTGGAAGTCTCTCTGGTCCCATTTATCACTAGAGAAAACTGTTAAGAATACATTAACATGTGAATATAAGTTTATATACATAGAATTTATTTCTTTTATTTGTGTTTTGAGACAAGTTTCTCTGTATGGCCCTAACTGTCCTGGGACTTGGAGTATCTGCCTGTCTCTGCCTCATGAATACTGGAATCAAAGGTGTGCACCACGACCACTTCCCAGCCAGCATTTCCATCCAAGCAGTTTTTATTCATTAATATTCATAAATACACACAGCAGCTTCATTAGAGATTTCAATTTTCCTCTTCAGTTTTAGTGTGGAGTATTAGGAGAGCCTTTTGCATGTCCAGGTACAGGAAGAGGAGATGACCATGCATTGTTACTTACATTTTGTGTTATGCCACTATTCTGCTCACAGTATGTTTTGAGAAACTGGTAATTGCTGTGACAAAAACCAGGAATGATTTTATTGTCAGATTATCCATCAGTGAAAGAAGGAATGTTTTGTGTTGGATCTTGTTCCCAAGGCAGTATTGCAGATTCTTAATTTACCTGCTAGAAATAAAAATTAGTTAAGTGGAAATGATTATTATGTATTATCTTCCTTTTGAATGTACACAATGTAACAAGACCTGAAATTATAGTCACCAAACAAACCCAGGATAACTTTTGTCCACTTTAACTTCAGCCTGCAGTTTTTAATGGTTATAAAGTTATATGCTTTGTTTTGTTCCCTTTCCCCATTCTTTCGTAGTGCAATTCATAGTAAATTTCACTACCAAACACATTTGACTTTGAGAAGTAGGATATGTAAGAATTATATCTTGAAAAAAATGAACAGATTATTAAATCATAATTCCTATGGGAGTGGTTTTGTTGGTGCTGGTGGTTTGTTTGTTTGTAGTTTACAGTTTGATCTACTTTTTTCAATATTTACTATTTTTTAAAATTTTGGTTTTTACACCTTAAAATTTTTAATTTAAAAAAATGTGTAGAAATAGTAAGAAAAATAGCATTGAAAGTATTTGATTGAGAGAGCGGGGAGGTGGTGGCGCATGTCTTTAGTCCCAGCACTTGGGAGGCAGAGGGAGTTGGATCTCTGGGTGTTTGAGGCCTGGTTTACAGAGAGTTCCAGGACAGTCTCCAAAGCCACAGAGAAACCCTATCTCAACAAACCAAAAAAGAAAAAAGAAAAAAGAGAAAAAAAAAAAAAAAAAGAAAAAAGAAAAAAAGAAAGAAAGAAAGAAAGAAAAAGAAAAGGAAGTATTGATTGAAAAACAGTAGTGTTTTGGGGCTGGAGAATTGGCTTACAGTTAAGAGCACTTGTTGCTCTTACAAAAGATGTGGGTTCAGCTCCCAGCACCCATATGGGCCTAAACAACTGTCTGTGACTCCAGTGTTTAGAGATCCAACATCATATTCTGGCTTCCATGGGCATGTGTTCAAGCTATACAGACATTCATGCAGGCAAAACACCCATCATGCACATAAAATAAGAATAAATAAATACTTTAAAAAACCATTTATAGCTGGGCATGGGGTGGTGTGTGCTTGATATCCTAATATTAGAAAGACAAAGACATAGCAGCACTTGTCTCCAAACAAACCCAAAACACAAAAGTTAGCAATTATTCAGGTTCCTTAAGCATGTCTTAGTTTTACTATTCCATGTTTTAGACAAGGAAAAGTTGGAGAGTGTTCCCAGCTCCTTATCCCTCTGCTTTGATTGACTCTTTCCAATTTTAAAAGTTCTTCATGGTTAGGATTTGATAACTTTTTGGAGATACTTGTAAAACCCTATTTTTGCATGGTCCTTTTAAATAATGAAGGCTGTTATTTATGGTTATTATGTATGATGTTATAAACATTTCTTGTACAAGTCCTTGTGGCAACATACATTGTTTTGTAAGTAGGATTTTATTGGAAACTAGCCACACCCAGGTACTAATATATTGTCTTTGGTCACTGTCCTTCTGTAATTAATACTGAATGTTTTTGTTGTGGATAATGTGTGACCCAGAAAACCTAAATGTTTTGTGAACCCTTTAAAAAGAGTTTGCAGTAGGGCGGTGGTGGCCCATACCTTTAATCTCATCACTTGGGATGGAGAAGTAGGTGTGGAGCTCTATGAGTTCAGGACAGCCAGGGCCACACTGAGAAACCATGTTTCTTGAAGAACAAACAAAAAGAAAAAAAAGATGTTCCCTGATCCAATGTATTAGTTGAATTACGTTTTAGCTCTTTAAATTCTTGGATTCAGTGTTAGATTTTGTGACTGGTGTGAGGCAGAAGTTGTAAATTTCTTGCAGGTGGGGGGAACTCATCTTTAGTTGGACGAGTAGGTGAGGGTATTTTTAAAATTCTGCTTCATTGGATTTGTTTGGTTAACATTTTCCATGAGATTTAGGACATTTTTAGCAACTGTTTTTTCTTTTGTCTGTTTGGGACTAATGCTAGTTTGGATGCTTCATATTGTCTTACATTCTCTAATTTTCTTCATATTTCTTTGGTATTTTCCTTAACCCCTTAGTTGAGGACAAGTCTTTTATGTGGCCTGGGCTAGTCTTAGTCTTGGCTTTTGATCCTCTTCTCTTAGCCTCCTCATGTTGGGGCACTACCATACCTGGCCTCTTGATTCCATTTTTAATTGTAAACCTTCATTCTTATTAAAATGTTCATTCTGCTCTTTAATTCAGTTAGGATATTCCTTATTGGTTTATTTGTCAAACACACACTCATGCACATTTTTAAAGTGGTGTTTTAGGTAACCTTTAATTCTCTGAGTATATTTCTCATAACAATTTTGAAATCTACTAACATTTATTGAGTGTTATACTAGAGTGTCATAGTTTGCTTTTCTCTTTTCTTACGTGGATTATATTTTTTTTCCTTGAACTGTACATTTTATAAAGTCTAGTAGTAATTCTGGTTTTCATTTTTTCCCTCCAGGCTTTATTATTTATATTTAGCGTTTTATATGTGTCCCAGCTCTAGGATGTTTTCCCACTATGTACTTCCTTTGGTCAGATTTCTTAGCTTTTAAGAAATTAATATTCTTATGTTTTCACTTGGCTTTCAGGGACTTCACCAGTGATTTTAGCCTAGTATTTAGGTTGTACCTAAACATCCTGAGCCTAGAATGCTGTCACAGTTTACCAGGGAGTGTTGTGTACTTTGGAGAACCTAGTCTTACAAGCCCAGTATATTTCTAGTTCACCTCTGACTTTCTCTTGGGGTTTCTTATGTCTTCCTGTCTGAGCAATTTATACCTGAGCCACTCCCCGAGCCTTGCAGCATGGCTTGTGTGATTAACTTCAATTGTCCAGTTTCTTGTCTCATACTAGGAAGGCTCTTGGTGACCATGGGATCTTTTGAGTCAGCCAGTGTTACTTGGAGGGTGAAAATCCCATCCCTTAGGATTTAAAGATGACTTGATGACTTGTCAAGTGTGTGGTCCTCCCATTGCTAGGATCTCCCTGTTAAGTTTGTGGCTAATCGGAGGCTTTTGGTGTGCTCCGTTGACTTCAGGCTAAGGAACATGTAGGATTCTCTGTTTCTCACTTGGCAACCTACAGTGTTCTGCTGTGGTTGGTCTTCTGTGTCTCTGGCTCTGTGTCTCTTCCTAACAGGAAGTTAACTTTCATGAAGAGACTTTTTGTTTTTTTTCCTTTTCTTTAGGCAACTTGTGTGCACAAAAATCATTGTTTAAAAGCTTTATCCACTTTTATAATTTTTTCTGTACTTTCTTGGAAAACCTAGATTCAAACTTGTATTTTAAAATCTGAAAGTACTTATTTTTTTATTTTTATAATTTATTTTTATTTTATGTGCATTGGTGTTTTGCCTGCATGTATGCCTGTATGAGGGTGTCAGATTTTGAAGTTACAGATTTTGAAGTTGGGAGCTGTCATATGGGTGTTGGGAATTGAACCTAGTTCCTCTGGAATAGCAACCAGTTGAGCCATCTCTCTAGTCCTAGTACATAGGTTTCAAAGTCAAATTGCTCCTCCCCCCAATTCATGCTCATGGAGACAGAAAAGAAAATTTTAAAAAATGGCAAAGGAGGCTGAAATGGAGAGCTATGATTCCCTCCCTTGGTTTCTTTGGCGGACGGACTTTTTCTTTGTAGACATAGATTTATATGCTCATTGAGATTATTCAAAATTTGGTGAGTCTTTGGAGAATAGATTTATTGTTTCTGCAGAGCAAGCTGTCTGCAGTTGATACTTTATGACCGTGTGCTCCATGTGATAACTTGCATCAAATAGCTCTTGTAGTATGCTCCCTCTAAAGATATGGGTACTCATTTTGAGTGCTGTGGGGATGGTTCTTAAACCCATCTCACTTGCTTTCCTTTGCTCCTTATAATTTGCACAGCAACTGCTTCCTACTATATCATAATTATTTGCAATCTCTTTGATCTTTGTGTATTTCTTTTTTGGAGGTAGTTTTTGAGGTTAGAATAATTCATGGCAGTTACCAAAGTTTTATTAGAAGCCAAAATTCTCTTAATTAATAATTAACCAGATTTTTAAAAGAGCCCTTGTTTGCTCTGTTACTTAGCAAACTAGTAAGAATCAAAAAATGAGATGTCCCATGGCAGCTTCCTCTGCCAGCTTTTTTTTTTTTCTTACACCATAGATGCAGATTCTGCCCAAGAAGCCCCTGAATTGCAGAGGGGCTGGAGATCTGTATGATCTGTTAATTGCGCAGTTGACAAGGGTAAGGGGGCTGTTATAGGGGAGGTGTTTGGGTACCCTGAAGTAGTGGTATGTAGCTAAGCCAACATTTATTTTGAGATTACTTAAACTTAGTATTAAAACAAAACAAACCCTTTTATGAAGTCTGTCTGTCCCGTGCCAGGTAATTAACATTAAAAAGTAGTTATAATTCTGAATTCATAAAGTCCTATTTAAAACAAGTTAGACAAACATAATTTATGCTTCTAAAACTCTGACTCTAGGACCATTGACAAATATTAAAATTCCATTATATGAACAATTTTGAATATTTTGTAAAGTGAAGTAAATCATAGCCATTTAAAACATAGTTATTCATCCGTTTTTCTTTTCGATAAATTTGTCAGTCAAATGGAACTGGGTATATCATAAATGACATTGGTGGGGGGGTATCTTTTGGGGGTATATTAGAAGTGAATATATCCTTTAATTCTTTTGTTGCCCTGGATGTCATTGAAGTTTGAGTTGTATTGAGGTTGGCATGTATCTGACTATTAGGGTTAAATTGTGAGAGTGCAGTTGACAAATCTCACAGGAGCCAAATTCAAGTTCTGTAGGTTGTGCTTGGCAGGTTTATAGAATAAATGTGAGAAATGGCCCATGTTTACAGAATCAAATTAAAGTAGACAAGGAAGACTTTAGTGCTCTGAAAATGGCAGGACTGGACAGGTGATTATAACCTGTGTGAGTAGTTGGGAATAATATGATGAACTTATTTTTGAATATATTTTATACCTAATAGTATAATAGCTTTGTTTACTTAAAGTAGTATACATTTTGGTAACTTAAATAGATACTTTTAATATTCTGTACTTGTTTTTAAATCAGCTACAAAATTTCTTTTGTAGATTTTCAGGATTCAACAATATGATTTTATATCTATTATCATTATCACTGTTAATAAATGTTCCTCTTTTAAATGCCAACACAATTAGAAAAATTTTTAAATTTTAAACAGCTTAAATGACTTTTGTTTTTATTTTTATTTTTTCTGTTTTCTTTAAGCCATAAAGATGAGTTTACCATTATTCCTGTACTGGTTGGAGCTCTGAGTGAGTCAAAAGAACAGGAATTCGGAAAACTCTTCAGTAAATATCTAGCGGATCCTAGTAATCTCTTTGTGGTCTCTTCTGATTTCTGCCACTGGGGTAAGTCCTAGATTTTAACATATGGTGGATGCTATGTATTTGTGGTTAAAGGGTTCTTTTCGTTTCAAGCTCTGATTCTCAATTCTTTATCACTCTTTGCAAAGTTGTATTTGTAGTAGCTATGTTTAAAAGTGAATAAAAACAGCCTTTCGGTCATTTAAAAGGATTGGCAGAGGATATAGGCACATTTCCAAAGGCGACTGGTACAGTTGGATTCACACTGTGAGGGCATCCTTACTTTTGAACTCTTCTGATAGTGGGAGTGAAAGCCTATTAGCCCCATATTTGTGTTGCATACATAAGGTGTAGGTTCTTGGAGGTCAGGTTTGGTAGATAGAACAAATTCTTCACTATGTGCTGTACTGGTCCTTCTCTGACTTTCTTTTCTGTAATTAATCTCTCTCTCTTTTTGGTGAATATTTTTTGTCCACAATTTCAGTCAGTTTTTTGAGTTGCCTTCTATTACTAGAACATAGAGGCTATTAGCACTGTGATCTTCACTGGTAATACTTTATAAAAATAAGGACTCATAAGTGGGCTTTGTTATTATTGTAAATTAAGAGGAAGTATATTTTACAATGACTAGATCATTATGAAGTGATACATTGCGGATTTCCTCTTCCAGTAAACTGATTTTGCATTCTTTGAATGTTATTTGCTTTCCTTTATCTTAATTGTCTCAGAATATTTCTTAAGTTCCATTCATTTTAGGCTATCTCTTTGACTCGTTTCTTCACTATTTTAAGTCATACCCATTTGTTCATCTCTTCTGCTTTTATTATAAGGAAACAAGACCATACTTTTTAAGGTAAAGCACTAGAATGCCAGAAAACCTTCTTAGTTATCTAGGGAACCCTTTGCTTTCTCTTGCTGGAATTGAGTCAGTATTTTACCTGGTTTCTTGGGTTCTCTCTTACATCCTTGTCGGAATAGAGAGTTATTAAGATATCCTTGCAATTCGACTGTCTTCCACTGCACAGTTGTTAGGATGTGTGAACCCTTAGCACTGTTTGCACTAGTTCTCCTTGAGTGTGACTTTCCTCCTAGGGAAAGTGTGAAAACACCAGGATACCCTTTAGATTTCATTGTCACACTGGGAAGGAATTTGAAGGATGAAGAGACTTCTGGAATCAAACAAGTAGAGTTCAGAGAAGTTGTTAAACATCTTAGAGTGTACAGAACAATCCCCTACCTCCACCCAATGAAAAAATGTCTGGTTCAAAGTTTATATAGTGCTGAGGTCAGAAACCTATCCTTAGGGTGTGAGGGTAGCTGGGTTTCCTTCTGAAGACTTTCTCTGGGCTCTTGAGTATCTCATTTAGCTGTCTAGTTTGTATTATTCTTTCTGGCAGAAGTAATTGTTTATTCATGTAACCATATTACTTAGATGCTAGGGCTCAGGTAGAGTCTTAGAAGGGAATTCCTGTTTCATGATTAGAACTTTAGTCATAGTTGATCTTAAAAGTAAAGAGTACTGTTATTAAAAAGAGCTGCTTTTCTCAGTGTTGTGAGTTTCTCTCAGGAACAAGACATGCTCATGTTTTGGAAATAAAAATTTTGAAGCAAGTATTTTTTCCTTTTGAAGACTCTTAAGAATCACTTGATACTGTTCTCTTGATGCTGTTCTCCAGATTGCTCTTTCTAGTTAGCAACATAGGCAACCACAACATAGAAACCTGCATAAAATGTGGGGTGTTTTGTTTTATGACAAGCTGTCACTGTCTAACCCAAACTCAGTCTTCCTGCATCTGCCTTTGAGGTGCTGAGGTTGTAGGCATGAGCCACCAAGTGTGATTACCCAGGCTAACCCAAACTTGCAGACTTCTGTATCTGTCTCTAAGGTGCTGAAATTGCAGGTATGAGCTACCAAGCCTGGTAAATAGATGTTAACATTCCTGCTTTACATGTATATGGGTCATTGACCCTCTGACCTCACCAATAAATTATTATTACTATTATTTTCTCTTTTGAAATGGGTTTTTCAGTGTAGCCCTGGCTGTTCTGGAACTCTCTGTAGATCAGGCTGGCCTCAGACTCAGAATCTGCCTTCCTCTGCCTCTGAGCACTGGGATTAAAGGCATTTGTCACCAACACCTGGCTTTTGTTTTCAAACAGGGCCTTTCCTTGTAACTTTGGCCTGGAATTCACTTTGTGGACCAAGCTGGCCACAAACTCACAGAGAGCCACCTGCCTCTGCCTCTTTGCCTCTGCCTCCTAAGTGCGGGGCTTATAGGAGTCTATCACTACTGTCAGGCTAATAAGGAATTTTTAATGCAAACATACCTTATTCTACAGTTGAGAGAGAAAAATAAATTTGTTTTTATAGCTAGTTAAGATTCGTAAAGAGTTATAAGCTGTTTTTCCTCAGTGTCTAAAAAAATTAATATCTGAGTTGTAATATAGGATTTCCAGGTGATAATTGAAAAAAGAACCCCCCCCCCCAAAGTTTTCTAAGGCTGGTAAACATTACCAGTGAAGACCATCCAGGCCTGCGTTTACATTTGGTGGTTAAGCGATGGAGCCTTTCCCAGAATTCCATATTTAGCTTTCATAATCATCACTAAGTCACTTTACTTACACGAGACTCTAAATCTTTCTGGGTAATTTGACCTGCAGTATGACAGACAGTTAGGTGTGACATGGATGATATTTGAAAATTGCTATTACAGGAAATAGTAATTGTCACTTTGTAAAGAAACACTTTCTGTTTTTACATGCTTAATCATGCTTAATAAGCTGAATCATTAGCCAACTATAAATTAAGCCATCTTAGGAATCAAATTTCATGTTTTTTTCAAATTTATGTTCCATGTCAATGCGTTAGCTCTTCATGAAGTTTGACGTTTTATTTTTCTTTCTCCTTTCTCCCCCTCTTGTTGAATCTTGCCATCTCAGGCTGACCTTGAATTTGCATCCTTCTGCCTCAGGTCCCCCTAAGTGGAATCACAGGCATGTATCACTCACTGTATCATGCTCTTTTTTTTTCTACTTGTAAAGATAGGGTACATGTTGATGTTTTTAAAAATTAAAACCATATAAAAACAATCATAATAGGTGAATTCTCAATAATTTTACAGGAATGATTCAACTCCTCAGTACATAGGCCTTTAACATTTCAATACTTTAGGTTCTTCGTAATCCCAAGTAGGTGGTTTTTGAAGTAAAATTACTTAATTGATTATGATGTACTTCACAAGTTATTCAGATAGATATACAAAGTGGGTCTTTGTTTTTAATTGAATTAGGCCGCTGTTACTGACGCCTTTTTCTTCTTGGTGTTTGTTCTCTTTGTGTCTTGTCTGGCTCTGTGGGAATAGTGGCAGCCGTGCTCACACAGATGCTTGTTGGGAAGCCGTAGTCTCCTTGTTGTCAGTTCTTCCTATAAAAATATATTTTGCTTTAATAGATTATTTTTAATTTATTTAATTTAGAAACAATCTTATTTTACATTATAAATCACAGTTTCCCTCTCCCTCCCATGCTTTAATAGATTTTTATCTTTAGACAGATAACAGAGGGATAAAAGTAGAGACTAAAATATTCTGGTATTCTTTAAGAAAGAAAAATGTCATGTGAGGGGCAGGAACCTATGTTCTGCTATCTTGTTCTTTCTGTCTCCTCTGTGGAGTTCCCTAAAATGTTCTAATCTGTGCTCCGAATCTTGTCATCATCTAAGACATAAGAAAAATGCATTGGCACTATGGTATAAAATAATAATAATCCTCCTTCACCATAGCTACTTTTGATTTTTTTTTTTGTCTTAACATATTTACCAAATTCTATTAATACTTAATATACTTACCAAGTTCTATTGCTGCATAGCATGCTTACCAGATTGTACATCCTGGAGGATGGTTCTATGTAGGAGGAACTAGTCTGGACTTCTTTCAGTTATCTAAATAGTAAATTTTTATTCTGTTTCCCAAGTTTCAATTCTGGTATTCTCCATATATACTATTCTTGTTTGTTTTATGTCTAAACAGAAATTTATGTTTCCAAGTTCAGATGGATAGATTTCATTAGCATAATTTTTTAGCAAGCTATAATAAAGTTCTAAGGGAAATTAGACCTACAAAATTGGAAGTGAAGTAATCTTCCATTAATTTGCCTTCATGGTGGTTTTACAAATCAGTTCCAATAAATTTACTAAGTGTTTATGACACTATTTTGTGAAAATATGAATATAATCTACTGTAGGCTCTTCAGCAATTTAAAATTTGCTTAGAATTATATCAATTCTTTTTTTTTTTTAATCATCTTGAGCTACTTATTCAAAGTGATCTTACCCAAAGGCATATAATTTATACTATGTTCAGATTTCGTCCCCCCACCCCTCCTTCCGAGATAGGGTTTTTCTCTATTGCTTGGAGCCTACCCTGGAACTAGCTTTGTAGACCGGGCTGGCCTTGAACTCACAGAGATCTGCCTGTTCAGATTTTCTGTACTGTTCATTAAGTGATTCATATATATTCTTTTTCCTGTTAAGTTTCTTAGTGCAAGGATATTTCCACTTTCTAAATGCTTACATTGTTTTGAGTATGTTAGCTTATTCCTAAAATGTATCTTATCAAAGGCTGTACGTTTGTTTTCTCAAATCTCTCTGTACATCTTTGTAACAGATTTAGGCTTTTGATCTTTTGCAGTATTGGTTTGAGGCTGATACTTTCGAATTGTAACAGAATTCAGGATGAATGGATGATAGTATCTAATTGTTAGAAAGGATGATCTTTTTTTATAGAACACAGATAGTATTTTTTGTGAAATACATTTTTTTCTTTGACTGTGATTTCAGTTATAGGTGTTCCAGGTTTAGGACTCTGTTGTAGAATGGCCTGCTAATCTCCCTAATGGATTTGTGTATGGGTTCAAACATTTGAAAAAATGGCTCACCATTAGCGAAGTGATGAGTAAATATACACAGAACAGTTTCTGTTGGTCATATATCTGAAAGACTTTCCTATTGATTGATATTTTGGGGGTTTTGTAGATTAACATTTGTTAGGTCATTGCTTATTTCTGCAATGTTTCAGTATAGCTTAATGTTGAGGTATTTAATTTTTTTCTTTTTGTTTTGAGATACTTAAAACATAGTGTTGGTTCTTGTACACATCCATTGTTGTTTGTCCTCATTAGTTGGTTGTTGTGTGTTAAACAGACATCCTTGGAGCTTCCTCTCCACACTCTGTGAATCCACTCATTAATCACCAGTCACCTTTGGAGATGGGAAAATTACTTACCTGTATTTCTTTTTCTCAGAAAGCGTGCTCTGGAATGGATTCACAAATGAGCTACCCTCCTTCCCTCAAAGAGTAAGGTTTCTGCTTTACAGGATTTTTTTTTTCCTTGGGTTATTTTTCCTCTCATCTTTTGAATTTGAAAAGAACTGAGGGAAGGCACCTGAAGAACCCACTGACTTACTCCCTAGGGAGTTCCAGAGCTTGTCCTGCCCCTAGGGCGGTGTCCATGGCTCCTAAAGCTAGAAAGCTCATACTTGAAGTTGAAACAGGGGCTCAAAGAATCCATTTTCCTAGTGTACCTTCTGAAAGGATAAGTTTCAGGTAAGTAATTTTCTCTACTATGTGATATGCTTTATTCATACTTAGAAAAGGATGTACAGTTCCTGTTCTTCAGTTATGGAGACAGCTATTTGTTTTATAGTCAGCTTCATAGTTGCCCTGAAAGTCAGAAATATAAATATTTATAGAATAAAATATATTTTCTCCTGAGATATATGCAATCAGAATTTACTTTAAATGAACAATTCAAAAGTAAAGGTGCATTTCTGATCAGTGTATTATCCTAGTACTGTTATTTCCTTTACAAATGAATGAACTCTTGAGAAATTAACTTTTAAATAAGTATCTTGACTCAGTTTCCCAGCAGCAGTTGACTTGTATATTTGTGTGTGTATGCACATGCATGTATATGCTCATGTGCATGCATACATACATACATATATATATACATATATATATATATACACACACACACATTCAGGCTAAGTAAGATGAAAGCAACTATTTACTTCAGATTACATACTGTATCTCTCTATTGACTAGGATGGGTTGTTCAAATAATTTGAAAATACTTGTACAATTTTAAGAATTATCATGACAATATTATGAATTTTTATGAGGAAAATATTCAGTGGCTACATGTACTGAAAATTTAGTTTCTTTATTGATATGAGCTATTCATCTTTGTGTTTAACTTTTATGTTACTGTGAGTTGGTCACAAAAAATAACAGGTAGCAAAATACTAAACATTTGTTCCAATTGGTTTCCTGTGTATACTCTTATTTGCATTGAATTACTTGATGATTTCAGTATTTTAAAGTATTTCAAACATCTGTGCCTTTCTTCAGAAATGACTTTAAAGTTAGCTGGAAGGTCATCTATATGATATGACATCACATAAACATACTGTTAGACTCCTTTCTCGCTTTCCTGGCAGGGTTGATACTTGAAAATAGCTCCTCACTTGGAAGTGAGCAAGGACTTTGGAGTAGCAAATAAATGTCATAAAGCATCCAGGAATAACAGTCTTTTATAGATACCAAGATTTACAGATAGGAGCAAGGAAGAGATTACAGTTGTATAAACCTGAAATAGTTCGGGTTTAAAAGAATCCAGACAGAGTACTTTGATTTCTTCTAGAATATTATTTTTAGAATAGTGGCAAGGAAGCAGAATTTCCACAAGAGATGGGCAGTTTTATCAAAAGAAGTTTGAAATAGATAGAAATGTAGTACAATAAATTGAGTCAGTAGATTAGACAGATGAGATGTAGATTTGGCTTTATTTAGTCTTCTTACAACTATCTGGCAAGTGTGGAAAATGGGTTCAATTTTACATTCCTCATGGTCAGACAGTCATTACTGTGTGTAATACACATTCTCTGAAGAAAAGCAAAGCTAAAACTGCGTCTTAAAAATTTGAAAGAGAAACTTGATGCATTATTTAATATAAAGGCATTGAGGGCTAGCAAGGTGACCTTATGACTAGAAGTGCTTGTCAACAAACCTGAAATCTGAATTTGATCCTTGGGGCCCACAAGGTAGATAGAGAGAACCAGCATTGCAGGTGGTCCTCTGACCTTCACTTGCACGCTGTGGCATGTGTATCCACTTGGACATGCATTTACATAAAAGTAAATTAAAATATAGAGGCATTGAGTGATAGGTGATCATTGCTGTCTCCAAGAAATAACCCTTCTAGTTCAGAGACTACAGTAGATATCATACAATGGCTGGCTGCATGCATCATCTTTGTCATTACATACAGAGAGCAGACTCTACCTTATATACAGCCTGTTCAGTTCTAGGATACCAGTTATAAGAGATCTTTAGTAATAGCTCTGTGGGAAGTTAACAGTTATCATATAGTCAGTGGCATTAGAAGATAATATAAACAGTTAAATATGAAAATTAAAGAATATGGTGTGTTTTAGGAAAGTATGAGAGAGATTGAGAGATTACACCAACAGATGAAATACTGCATTCTGTGATATGTTTTTTAAAGGATATCAAAGTGAATTTTATAATTTTGCACTGATCATTATATGTAAGATACAGTTTTCAATAAGATGAACAGGAAACTTAAAAATATAATAATCCAACCAAATCTGCTTTCACAGTTGTGAGGCTAGAAGTTGGACTTATTATTGGTTCTAGATATGATGCCTAAGGCATAGTTATGTATACTGGATGAATATATCGAACATCATTAGAGATGCATTTTGGCAAAACTTTAAAAATTAGGAAAATATGGGCTGAAGTGGCTCAGTTGTTAAGAGCAGTAGCTACGCTTCCAGAGGACCCAGCTTCAATTCTTAGCACCCAGTTGGTGGCTGATACCCAAATGTAACTCCAGTTCTAGGAGATCTGACATTTTCTTCTGTTCTCTACAAGTACCAGACATACATGTGGGGAAAAACACCCACACACATAAAATAATTAGAATATAAAAATGAAACATAAAAGTAAGGAATGATACTGCTGAAAGTTATATGAGAGGTATCTCAAATACACGATTACACCATAGTTAAATAGTCTATAATTAGTTATAGATACTAACATTTGGATTTCATATTACTACAGTAGGAAGTAATATATTTTCCAAAATTTGGTTTTTTTTTTTCCCTTTTTTAAATTTCTTTTTAACCTCTTCATTTGAAGAAGAGCTGAACATTGACTATTTTGTGCTTTTACTTTTAGCTGAAGTTTTATGTCAGTGTAGATAGTTGATTTATTCATTCTTTTGTGAATTCCGTTCACATTGCACAAGGCCCATGTATCAATCCTTTTGCTTAAAAAAGTAATGGCTGTAAAAATTGAACAAGCTTTTGTCAGGGAGAGTGGCAGTGATAAACTCATTGAGTTGTTACACAGGTAGTTTACTTAAGTCAGATTTTCTTGAGTCATAGTCTTTGGGTTTACCCTCAATTATAGATTGATAGAATGTTTAACAATGTTTCTACCTTTAAAGCTCTTTTGTTTCCTTATTCTTATATTGCTGGTGATTTTAAACTTTCTGCAGTATTAAATAGTTTTTAACATCTTAAAATTCTGGTGATGTGTCATTTCCTTATTTATTACCTTCCCAAATATGCCTCTTACCTTTGTGTTGAGGGCTCTTGGAAATTGATTCTTGCAGAGGCTTAAGCTGAGCTTTGCCTTTTGTGAGAACTGAAATGATTTGGTAAGCGCTTGCTTTCTTTTTAGCTTCTAATTTTTCCCTATTTTATTTTGTACATGATATTTGTTTCAAGGTCAAAGGTTCCGTTACAGTTACTATGATGAATCCCAGGGGGAGATTTATAGATCCATTGAACATCTAGATAAAATGGTAAGTCTTTCAGGTGTGGGTTAATGCTCTAAAATATTTTCTTTATTCCAGATTAGTGATTGAGACTCAATATGTTAACATATACAATGGCTTAACAGTTGTTCCCTTTTTTGAATTAAAAGTACAAACTGCAATGTGTCCTTGAATGAATAATTCCTCTAAGAATTTTCCTTTATCATACTTCTGTTTGATTAGTGAGAATATTTAAGGGCAATTAGATAGAGATTTTATTTATATTTTGGAGAAGTATTTGGTTTAAGGGGCTGCAGCATATTAATGCTAGTTCTTCTGTTAAGCTGCAGCAGTAGATGCTGTTGGGATACATGGCTGTAATTCCTTGCTGGCCATCTCAGATAATAACTTTCAGTCTTTCTGAACTTTGTTACTGTTCTTTGAAATTTATTAAATAATTTAGTTTCAATTTTTAGATATGGTTTCTTAATAGGCCAAACTTATTCTTGAGTAATGATGGGAGATGCCATTATGTATATATGCTTCTCATACTGGTTAATGAATAAAGCACTGTTGGCCAATAGGAAAGCAAGATAGGAGGGACTAGGAGACAAGGAGGAAAGAGGAAGTAGTAAGGAGGAGTCAAGATGGAGAGTCTGGAGAGAACAGAACCGCCATTCCTCCGCTCTCGGTAAGACCACGTGGAAATACATAGAAATGGGTTAATAATTAAGATAGAGCTAGCTGATAAGAAGCTAGTAACTGGCCAACAGGATTATATCAAATACAGAGTCTCTGTGCATTATTTGGGGCTGGCGCTGCGGAGGGACAAGACCAGACCAGGTGGCGGGCGGAAAAACCCATACCCGTTACAGAGTAATGCTAAAGATTTTATGAACTACTTGATAAAGTATATATAACCTAAAATTGTGTCTGATTGGAACTCCAGTTTTTCAGTTAACACCCTTTTTCTTCTGGAAGTAATGACATTATAGCCCTTTTATTTTATGTTTTTGCTGTGCTGTGTCTTAAGCTCAGAGCAATTGCTGTCCCGCTAAGCTGCACTCCCAAGTCTGATGGCATGTTTACTATGACAGTTTTTTAGTAATTTAGCAAACTTAAATTTTGTCTGCTGAACTTTAGGAAGTTTTACAACTATATCATTTTAATGTTCTTAAGTTTTTAAAACTCCAGAAATATTAAGTTAGGAATTAATAGTGTATTCCAGATTTTTCTCAAAAAACTCCTAAAGTGAATTTACCATAGTGAAATTAATAACTTAAAAATGTTGTAATTTGAGTTTTGGTTATTTCAATAAAACCTCTTATAAGTCCTATTGTTATATATTAATTTGTATTTTCATTTCTCATTTATCATATTCAGTTTGAACTTGTCTGTGGTCTTTAGCTTATATCTATTAAGGAAACTACAGAAAATACCTTAAGAAAACTGGATTACTTGATGAGTACAAACCATTTGCTTTTCTCCCCTTTTGTCTTTTGCTCATTTTTATAGCTATTTAGATTACTTCTTTTTGGCCACTGGGCTTTCCAGTGTTATTTTACCCTGTTTTTCTAAATGTAAAATTAAAAAATACAATTCTTATTTTTTCTTAAATTATTTATAGTTATACTTTAAATTAAAATAATGTGACTTCTATTTACTGCCAGTATAAAATATATATTGATTTCACTTAGAATGAAACAAAACTTCCTCAACAATGATTTTTGATCTTTATTGTTTAATGAAATTAAACTGTAATAGATCGAATTAAATATTTTACAATTAATTTTACTTTCATTTTATCTTTAACAGTGATTTTTTTTAAATTACACATACGGTTTACATTATATTTTAATTGTGCATTTCTGGTTTAGAGCATAAAGTGTTAAACATTAAAAAATTTTTCTTTAAAAATTTTTTTTTGAGAGGTGGGTATTACTATATAGCTTTGTCTGACTAGAAACTTTCTATTCGACCCAGGTTGTCTTCAAACTCATCATTCCTCTTGTGTTGGGGTTCTAGGCATGAGTTACAGTACTTGGCTGGAGACAAATATTTGAAGTCATTGCTGTGTGGAGGGCAGGTAGAAAGGAGGGAGGTCAGTGCCATTGTCCAGAGAGAATGGAGCTAAGGAAAGGGTAGTTAGGTCAGAGGACACACTGATGTAAGTGGTGAGGGAGTCAGAGAAAAGCCAGTAAAAGCCCTGCCTAGGGGAACTAAGAATGAGTGATGGGAGGAGAAAACTTTTTAACCAACAGGGACGAGAGTGTCCAGTTAACTTTGTAAGAGTGGTTATAGAAGAATTAAGTTAGAACCTCAGTTGGAACAAAGAGGTATCCAGTTGGCAAGAATGTTCTCTGTCCGTTTGACTGTGACAGGAAGGAGCATTGTTTGAATGTTACTTGGCTGGAATGAGCTGATCCACCGAGCATAGTCAGAGGAGGACTTTGTCTTCCCCCCCTTTTTTCTACTTCATACCCTTATATAACACTGATATAAAACTTTATTTCCACTCATACCTAACTTTGCTTTCTAAATCAGGATGGAAGTTGAGATCATTTCAAAATCCACAGTAGCATTAATCACTAAATTTCAGAGTTGTTTTTCAGAGATTTGACTCTCAAAATATTATCACACATTTGTTCCCATTCCTCCACCTGGCTCACTTCTTCATTTCTTCTATTTATTTAGGAATGACTATTTAGGGACTGAGGTTTGGTAGCTCAGCATTAGAGCAACATGCTTCGTTTGCATAAACTCTAGTGTGTGCTTTTGTCCACAGATAACTGTAAGGAAGAATGACTGTGTATGTGTGAAATAGGAACTATTTGTTAGTGGTATGCATGAAATTTCCTTTTCATTAGAATTGTCTTCGTTTGTTCATTTCCAAGCTGATCTCAGACTTGCAAACCTCCTGACCTTATCCTAGTAGGTATATGCCAGAACACCCTGCCTCAACATTTGGTGCTGCTTTAGCACCAAAAAAATTCCAAAGCACAGGAGGGAGGGAGGGTGTGTAATGTGTGTATGTTTAACAACATTTTGTGAAACAGTACTTTTAGCACCAAAACCAGTAAAAATCTCTTGATCCACGACAGTTCTTTCAAAGTTCTTATTTACCAGCTTAGTATTTTCACTGGAATGTCATGTAAACAATTTCCAAACTCAACATGGCAACTATGAAAACTTCTGATTTTCTCTTGACAAAAGTCTGTTTTTATGGACTTTTAAAAGTCATTTGTTGGTAGCTTATACTTTCTTGGCTGCTATTATAATTAATTTTCAATCTCAAAAAGCTGAAAGTAAAGCCCAAACAAATTAACCCCCCCCCCCCAGGGTTCCTCTATGTAGTCCTGGCTGTCCTGGAACTAGCTCTGTAGACCAGACTGGCCCTGAACTCACAGAGATCCCTTTGCCTCTGCCTCCCAAGTGCTGGGATTAAAGGGGTGCACCATCACCTCCTGGCCCCAAACAGATTCATGCAAACTCACATCATACTGTGTTATTCTTCTGGTCCAAATCTATAATATTGTCCCATTTCAGTAGAATCCCTGTGTTTACATCAAATGACCTAAAGGGACCAGCATGATATGCAAGCCTACTTTCTCTTCTCTTTTCCACTTCTCTCAGTCTGCTGTGGACAGACTGCTGGTTGACACTGCCAACTTCTGTCTTTTGTTCTTTTTGTACTTAACTATTTCATGTGGATAACTCAAGTTTTTGCTTAGATTTTGCTTTTAAAAAACAGGGTCCAACTATGTAGCTAGGACTAACCTTGATTAACCTTGAACTCAAGAAGATCAGCCTGCTTTTGCTTCTGTTTCTGATCCCCAGTACTGGGATTAAAGGCATCCTACCATGCCTGGCTTCTTATCTAGCTCCTAACCCTTCTAGTGGGGTCTGCTGGCCTACCTTGTTTACTTTACATGCTGCACTTCATCCTTCCAGCATTTGTTCCCTGACTGCCCAAGTGTGTTTCATTGTTAACTTGTAAGAGCCACATTTCTCTCAATCAAATACTTAACATTTTTTTCTCTGATGTATCCAAAGGGCCTGGAATAGTGATTAGAACATAAAAACTCAAATATTTTAAAAATGAATGAATATAATAATCTTCCTATATACACAATTAAAAACATGAACACACTAATATGAAAGTGAAATAAAAGGAAGGTGACTTAAAATAAATTAATGTCTTAAATGTTAGTGTTCAGACACAACTATGTTAGAAGGCACAATGAGGCAGTTAGATTCTTGTATATATAGAGTATCAGTAAAACAGCAGTAAACACAGACTTCTGCATTACACATTACATGGCTGATGCTTTTGTTGCTCACATTACTATTTGGCATTGCTGGGTGACTTGATTTTTTTTTTCCACCAAAGGGTGAATAATTCTTAGTAAATAAATAAAACTTTTAAATAAAAGAAACTACAATATTTCCTCACTTTAGATGATGATTCCATCCCTGGAAAATTCATTCTTTATTAAAACAATGCAAAACTGTTTTCCTGTTGTTATATGAGGTAGAAATGGTACAAGTAATGAAGAGTTTTACCTAAGTTACATGTCAAAACAGTTATTTGTGTATAGAATTTTCCTATATCAGCATCCTTAAATCCTATCAGACCTTACTTGGTATTGAGGACAACCAAAAATATGTTTGTACTATTTTCTTGTGGTCTTCCTCTTCCTGTGAACAGCAATGTCAGCTTACCCAGCTTATTTCTACTTTAATACTATGGGACTTAATTCCTTTTTTTTTTTTGGTTTGGTGACTCTTTTCTGTATGTCTATCAATCATCTATGTCTGTGTTGTAATTCACAGTATAAGTTTATGTACTGGTGTAATTTACATGGTTTTGAAGATTTCTCTGTTGGTTGTATAGAAAGCAGATTCTACAAGGTCAGGCATGGCATTTTTAGGGAAGAAATGATAACTTGGAGATAGTGGCAGTGGGTTGGAAAGAAATGGATCAAATGAAGATTTTTGAACAGGAGGCAAAGGTCCTAATAGACTCTTTACTGGTTGCAGCTCAGGGA